GTAGCTACTCTTATATTGGGTAAAATAGACTTTCAGCCAAAAAAGCATAAAAAGAGACCAAGAAGATCATTATATAATGATAAACGGATCTATCCAGCTAGAAGAAATAACAGTCATATGCACCCAACTTGGAACACCCAGATAAATAAGGCAAACACTATTAGACCTTAAAAAAAAAAAAAAAAAAAGATAGACCACAATACAATAATAGTTGGGGACCTGAAAACACCTCTTTCAGCAACGGATAGATCACCTAGGCAACAAATCAGCAGAGAAACTCAGGATCTGAACTTCAAACTAGATCAATTGGACCTGGTAGATATCCTCAGAATATTTCATCTAACAACTACACAATATTCATTCTTCTCATCAGCACATGGAACATTCTCCAGGATAAACCACATGTTAGGTCACAAATCAAGTCTCAGCAAATTTTAAAAAATAGAAATCATTTTAAGTAGCTTCTCAGAACACAACAGATTAAAACTGGAAATCAATACCAAATGAAATTATAGAAATATACAAATACATGAAATTAATCAACATGCTCCTGAACAACCTATGAGTCCATGAAGAAATTTTTTAAAAAAATAAAAAACTTTCTTGAAACTAATGAAAATAAAGACACATCATACCCAAAAATATAGGATACTGCATAAGCAGTAATAAAGAGAAGTTTATCAAAACAAATGCTTACATGAAAAGAATAGAAAGATTTTATATAATCAACCTAATGTTTTACCTCAAAGAACTATAAACACAAGAACAATACAAACCAAAAATTAGTAGACAGAAAGAAATAATGAAGATCAGAGCAGAAATAGATGAAATAGAGACACATAAAAAGATACTAAAGATAAATGAAACAGAATTTTTTTTTTTATAAGACAAACCATCAGCTAGGTTAACAAAAAAAAAAAAAGAAGAAGAAGAAGAAGAGAGAAGACAAAAATTGCAAAAATCAAAAAATCCAAAAGGAAAAATGAGACATTAAAACTGATAACCACATAAATAAAAGAATCTTTAGGGACTATGATAAACAAATTCATGCCAAGAAATTTAAAAACCTGAAGGAAATGGATAAAATTCTGGAGACATACAAACTACCAAGATTCAACCAAGAAGACATCAAAAACCTTACAATCAACAAAAATAATCAAGATTGCAACAACAATCAGCAGTCTCCCAATGTATAAAATCCCAGGACAGGATTGTTTTACTGCCGAATTCGACCAACTCTTTAAAAAACAATTAATAACAATTATCTTCAAACTATTCCAAAAAATTAAAGCACAGGCTATTCTCCCATACTCATTCTATGAGGCCAGCATCACTTTGATCTAAAACCCAGCAGATATACAACAAAACAAGAAAACTACAGACCAATATCTCTGATGAATATAGATGCAAAAATCATTAACAAAATATTAGCAAACAGAATACAGTAACTCATCAAAAAAATTATCCATCGCGATCAGATGGGATTCATCCCAGGGATGCAAACATGGTTCAACATATGCAAGTCCATAAATGTGATACACTACATCACCAAATCAAGAACAAAAACCATATGATTTTCTCAATAAACCCAGAAAAATCAGTTTTCAACATCCCTATAAGATATATTCTCAGCAAATGAGGTAGAGAAGGAAAGTATCTCAACACAATAAAAGCCATTTAATAACGAAGGCACTGCCAATATCATCCTAAAAGCTTTCAGCAATGGGAACAAGACAAGGATGACTATTCTCACCACTCCTAATAACATAGTATTGGAAGTACTAGACAGAGCAATCAGGCAAGAGAAAGAAATAAAGGCATCCAGACTGGAAAAGATGAAATCAAATTGTTCTCATTTGAAGATAACCTGATTCTTTATAAAGAAAGGCCTAAAGACTCTACAACAAAACTCTTTGAGTTGATAAACAATTTCTGTAAAGTTTCAGGATACAAAATCAACACGTAAAAATCAGTAGCGTTTTTATATTCCAACAATGAACTAGCAGAAAAAGAAATCAAGGAAGCTAGCCTGCTTATAATAGTCACCAAAACAAACAAACAAACAAAAAATCTCTGGAGTAAAGTTAACCATGGACATGAAAAATATCTACAGTGAGAATTACAAATCACAGTTGGTAGAAATTGAAGAGGACACAAAAAGAAGGAACGATGTTCCATGGTCTTGTACCAGAAGAATTAACATAGTGAAAATGTCCATACTACCCAAAGCATTCTGCAGATTCAATGTAATCTACATCAAAATATCAGTGATATTCTTCACAAAAATAGAAAAACAAAAACAAAAACAATTCTAACATTCATATGGAACAACAAAATACCCTGAGTATCCAAAGCAATCCTGAGAAAAAAAATATAAAATAAAATAAAATAAAATATAGTCAGAGGCACTAACTGACTTCAAATTATACTATAAAGCTATAGTAATCAAGACAGCATGGTATTGTCATAAAAACAGACACACAGACCAAAAGAACGGAATAGAAAACCCAGACATCAACCCACATATTTACAACAAAACAATTTTTGGTAAAGGCACCAAGAATATACATTGGGGAAAAACTAACTCTTCAATACATGTGCTGGGAAAATTAGATATCCGTATGCCGAAGAATGAAACTGGACTTATACCTCTCTATATATATAACAAAATTGATGCAAAATGTATTGAATTAAATAAAAGGCACAAATCTATAAAACTCCTAATAGAAAACATAAGGGAAACACTTCTGAAGTAGGAGTGTGCAAAGACTTCATGAATATGACCCCCCAAGCACAGGCAACAAAAGAAAAAAATAAGCAAATTGGATTATATTGAAGTAAAAAGCTTCTTCACAGCAAAAGAATCAATCAACAGGGTGTAAAGACAACCTACAGAATGGGAAAAAAATATTTGCAAATTATGCATCCAAAAAGGATTAATGTCCAGAATACACAAGGAACTGAAACAACTTAACGGTAAAAAAACAAATAACCAGATTAAAAAATGGGGACAGGAGGTGAATAGGCATTTTTCAAAGGAACATAGACAAATGACCAACAGACACATGAAAAAAATGCTCAACATCACTCAGAATCAGGGAATGCAAATCAAAACCACATTGAGATATCATGTCACCCCAGTTAGACTGGCTAATATCAAAAAGAGCAAGAATATCAAATGTTGTCAAAGATGCCGATAAAGGAAAACCCTCTTAGAGCACTGGTGAGACTATAAACTAGTACAGACCTCATGGAAAATGGTATGGAGGTTTCTCAATCAACAACAGATAGAACTGTCATACGATCCAGCAATTCCACTGTTGAGTAATACCAAAGAAATGGAAACATTATGTTGAAGGGATACCTGTGCTTCCTTGTTTATTGAAGTTCTATTTACAATAGCCAAGAATTAGAACATACCTTAATTTCCATCATCAGATGACTGGATAAGGAAAGTTTGGTACATATACACAATGGAATACTACTCTGCCATGAAAAATAATGAAATACTGCCACTTGTAGCAACATGGATGAACTTCGAGAAATGTATGTTAAGTGAAATTAGCCAGGCAGAGAAAACAAAATACCATATATCCTCACTCATAAGTGATAGGAAAGAAAGAAGGAAGTAAAAAAGGAAGGAGAGAGAGGACAGGAAAGGAAGAGAGAGAGAGAGAGAGGAAGAGAGAGAGAGAGAACAATCATAATAACGTAATAATACGTTGAACATTCAAAAGGAGAGCACAGAGCTGAGGTCACCAGATGTGGGAAAGGGAGAGGGGGAGGAAGGTTAGGAGGAATTGGTATAATATTGAACATACTAACTATCCTGATTTGTCCATCACATGTTGCATACAGGTATTGATATTCAATGCTGTACTCCACAGATATGGACAATCACAAATGTTTTTTTTTTTTTAATTAAAAATATTTTTTAAAGACTTGGAAATTTCATAGGAGTGTATTTTTTTGGTTGCCAATCAATATAATTAAATCACAATAACTTTTCAGATTTTTTGTTGTCTTCAGTGTTGGTTCCAGTTAGTTGCATGCTCTTTTCTTAATTAGCATAGTGACATGCTTTAAGATTCATGTTTGGTCATACACTTATCAGACTGTGATTGTGAATCCAGATGGAAGACATCATGACTTGAAATAATTAGAACAAAGCTTACTCAGAGTAGCAACTGGATTAGAGAAAGTGTCAGATGTTAATGATTTCTTGAGCGCCATGATTCTACTGTATTTTTTCCTGCTAGATTCAGGGGGAGCTTGATCATTTGAAACTTAGAAAACTAGAAATTATTTTAAAGTGTGCTCTAAACAGAATACATAGACTTAATCTGTCTCTAGGGCTTAAAGTATTCACTGATTTATGTCTTTCTAAGACCTAAATAGAGTAGTATGTACTAAAACTTAATGATGGCCTCAGTGTGACTTAAAATGATTTAAATTTAATTGATTTAGTTTTGGTTATAACTAGGTATGATTTCTGTTTTGAAGATACAGAAAATTAGCATAGAGTAATTATATTATTATAAAATATGCCTTAATATCTTAAAATATTTTCAACTGATAGAAAAAATTTGTACAGTACCTTGGCATTTCAGAACTGATATGAATTGTTTCTGCTCTTCTGCGTTAATTCTATTGCATCATATACGTTTTAAATGGTGTGTCTCCTAATTTATATAACAGTTATTTTTAATTTGGGGAGAAACATATTGTAGCTCAGCAAAGAGAAAATAAGGTACTCTTGTATAATGGGGAGTGAGTCAAAACCAAAAGAATATCACATAGGCATTTTGAAAGTAAACATAAAGAAAGATGGTACAGAAAGAGAAGATAAAGAATTAGAAAAAATAAGCAAAGAGAGGAATTAAAAGTGTGTCCCATAAACTTTTCTTTAGTCACTGGTGTTAAAAATTAGCTATTCATATGCATATTAACTGATAATATTTTGATACAGTATCTATTATTTTTCATTATTTTTTTTCTAGTATGTATGCACTCCAGGGTGCACAAGAAATTCATGTTGGTTTGTGAAGAATGTTTACTTCACTCATCTGTACCTCTGCTACTATGGATCCACCTGCCACGATATTTGCCAAGCTAAAGGTCCTCCTCAATTTGAATATGTGTGGCAATTGAGATTTACAGGTAATACATTTAATTTTAAAATTTCTAATTTGACTTATCACTTCAAAATTTACAAGGCATGTATTCATTTTCTAATCACACAGGTATTTTATATCTTAAAATGCAAAATAAAGTTAAAAATGAAATTAATACACTTATACCCCAATTTTTTCTTTAACAGGAACACCAACTATATTCTAGGAATTCTGCTTTGTGCAAGATATACTAGGGTGAGGAAAACTAGAGCTGTTTCCTCCTCATGGATCTATTTGTTGGTGGGGGGGGGATATTGGACAAATATTCTCAATGATAAACATATAAATATATTTGACACAAAATGCTCTTTTGGGAACAAATAGCCTCCCATGAAAGCTAACAGCCAAAGAACCTACTAAGAGGAAAAAAAAAAAAAAGAGGAAAAACATGGGCAATTGGGAAAGGAAGTTGGGATGTCTGAAAAGCTTGCCATTCGAAAATAACCTTTGAAGAGAGATATGGAGAATGATGTCATGAAACAGAATGTGGGGAAGACAGAATTCTGGATTTAGGGTACTGTATTTCTTAAAACATTGCATTGAAAGAGATGGATCCTTTGAAGGCCTGGCTGGAGCTCTGAGAAAAAAGTAAAAGTAAGAATTGAGGGGCCGGCCGGGTGGCGCACTGGATAGTGCGCCGCTTGGGAAGCGCGGCGGCGCTCCCGTCCGAGGGTTCGGATCCCACATACAGACCGGCTCC